AAAGTCATGTGACTTTGCGCTATGGGACAGCATAACCTGACTAACCAGCGGACCGATTTAGTTGCACAGCATCTGAAATGTTGTCATGGTCATTCTGAAGTGCCTGAGCAAAGTCTGTCGTCAAAGTATTTCTTCCCAAACAGCTGACATTCACCTCCGAAAGCAAGACCGCATTTATTGTGTTTCGTCTGCTCACTCAAAGCGCAAGTAATTTATTATATTTGAGAATTATTATATACAGTGGCTTCTCTTACTTAGTGATATTTGGTGCTAGTTTTTCAGGAAGTGATGATTTTGTTTGCTCTGACTCGTTGGATGGAAACAGTGCTTGTTCGCAAATGTTTTATGCGATATTCCAATTTTGCGCATAAGTTAAATTCGCAACTTTGGATGGAAACCCGGCTTGTAGCTCTCGCGGTGCTTTGTCATACAGCGATCGGTCTGCGCATTGCTGCTTCAAGTCGAACCGTGAAAGGGACTTTGGTCGAACACACTCCTGTCTACGAGCTTGTGGAAGTGTGGAAGTGACCAACCAAAACGTAATAAGGATTAAGCCAACATGGATGCATGACTGCAGAAATGTTATAGTGACAGTGTTTTGAACTCTAAATCAAGCAATGACATTAAGTAGCTGCCAAATCAAGTACATATCAGATGGAGTGCAGAGGTAAAAAAACAAAACAAAAAATCACACGCAATGAAGAACAGGGCAGCTTTACTTTCAGTGCCCCCTTATGGCCAAAAATAATGACCACCTCTCTACACCTCTTTTTATTGTCTATCCTGAGTGCAGTGACAGTATTAGATGCTTACAAAAAGGTCACATTGTTACGCAATGCAAAAGGGCACTGTGAGAGTTCACAAGAGGTTACTAATGAATTAAGTTAAAGCAGGCGTGTATGTGCGTAGGTGACTAGATATGAAATGTATTTTGATGTTTCAAGCAATTCCACTCTTCAATAATGACGCATTAAATGAGTCATCGTTCACAATAATTTGATGTACGCTTCACTAGACAGTTATCTCAGCAAGAAATAGGTGTATAGTCTGTGTACTATGTTTTATTTAGTACAAACTTTTATGTGTATGTGAGAAACCGAGAACAAGAGACACATTTGCAGCCTACATTTCTGTCTCACAAAGGCATCAAATGCAAGCGTGGTTTTGTACCTCTTGTAGACTATCTTTAGATCTCTCCATTCCAGGAAGCTGCACATTTTGGGTTTTCTGGCCAGCACCACCTGCATGAGCTCTCTGACCATCTTTTTCTTGTCACGCTCAGCCGTAGCTGTGTACCATTTCTGGAGTCGCAGCTTCCCCTGCCGGCTGAACAGAAGCATAAAGCGCATCTAGAGAGAAACAGAGATAGAGAGAGACAGGAGAGCATCGCATAAAGAAAAAATAGTTATTTCATAAATACCAGACAATACTCAATATGGCAGAGAAGCTAAATAAATAAATTAATTAATAAACCAGTCTCTGGTAACACATAATTAGAGAAGTGTTATTATTATTTATGCACTAATATAGTACTGATTAATATTTATTAGCTTTTTTATATGTTTGTGTAGTTTTTATATTTTCATTTTAGTTTAACTTTTAGTACTTTTTAATTTTTTATATTTCTTATTGGCTTGATTTTTTATATCAGTTTTAGTAATTTTAGTATTTCAACCTAAACCAATTTAATTTTAGATAGTTGTCAAGACATTTATAATTTCGTAGTTTTATTTTTGTCTAGTTTACATTTAATATTTATATTTTCTTTTTAAATTAATAAAAATTATTTTTACTGGTAAATAGTTTTAGTTAGTTAACAATAATAACATTGAACTGAATACTAATTTTTTTAAAAACCACCAAACTAAAAATATATACTAACAATTTTTCACTAAAAACTTGATGTGTCCCATGCAATACTTCACTAAAAACCTGTTATATGATAATTATTATACATGCAGTTTTTATGACCTCATATTAATTTAGAACGTACTAGTTTCAAAAAAATCATACATCACCACAAAACTAGGACAAAAAAGGCCAAAGGATATTAAAACTAGTGAAAAACATTTAAAAACTGTGAACTAAAATGTACTATTTACCTTACACATTGAATTCAATTACAACCTAAAATCTTGTTGCTGGTAAAAAAAGAAAAGAAAAAAGGTTCATGTCCATGTTATGTACAATTGATGATTCAAATGTTGTGAACTGTGCTTGTAACCAGTATCTGACTTATCAGAAAGGATGAAGGCGTAATGGAAAAATTGTGTAAAACAAATTTTACCTCTTTTTTTCCTAAAAGAACTTTAGCGTCATCCATCATTATAAAATTAGAAAGTGAGCTGGCCTATGCATTTCAGATGTGTTAAATATTTAAGAGGCGAGCTGAAGAGCACTGCATCTGCTCCCATCAGACATGGCCCACATATCCAACATGCTGCATTCAGCTCAATCCACTCGAAAGACTATCCAACTATCACATTTCCTGATCAAAGAACTAGTATGACACACTATGATTAAAACCACAAGACTATCATATGGAACACTAACCTTAAGCACACGTTAGTTTAATTGTGAAGCATTTTTACAAGCTTTCTAAATTGAGGACTCTGTGCCATAATTTGTCAGCCTACATCAGCTCTTGAAATAGACTAAAAATTATGCATTGCACTTGGCAATGAAAGGCTCTGTTGTACAAGAGATGTTTCATATCCAAAAATAGAAAGACGTAAAAAAAAGATGAGATGTGGAAAAAAAAATTAATAGGGGCCAAAGACGAGAATAGTAACCTCCTGGGAAGGAGAGACTATCTTCTTCAATGCTATAAAAAAAATGTTTCTGGTTTCAAGTCCATATTTAGCAACCAAATCAAGTGACAATTTAGCATCCACACATACAGACAAGTTAGTTAAAACCGTGCACTGTTTTTACTTGATCAATGCCGTGTCTTATAACACTTGTTAGTAGTTTAAACACAAATATTGGACACTAAATTCACACATTCATGAAATTCTACTGTTAATAAAGAACATAAAAATCTACAGAACAGACAATGAGACCACCATCTACTGCTAAACTACACATCTTTACTTACAGCGATGAATGCTTTCTGCTGTTTTTCTAGTGCCATAGAAAGAGGGGAAAACAAAAGGTCTTATATGGAGAAATAAATGCTCTTTTGATTGATACTGTAGTAACGTGTCTATCTCATCAAAGAAAAAGCAAGTCCAGGTCAGCCTGTTTAATGAACATGGCAAACAGGAAAATGATTAACAATTTGGACAGCGTACAAAGACATTATATTTTGCTTCCGTCTGCTATGATCTTTAGTGCTTTCTTCAGTTAGTAAACACTGTTGTACGATGTGTTGGATATTATCTCTCAGAGCAGCACTTCCTTTTATGCTTAACTGATTAAACAAAGGAAATATGTTGTGAAATACTTCTATAACGGAATATTTGAGAGAACACACTGTTATGACTCTAAAAACCGCAGTGAAATGTACTGTGTGGGATTAAAGGCAGTCTTCTGACTGACTCACAGTTCATCTGAACCTCAAATACAAAGCAGCAACTAGACAACCGTTTCCGGGTCGAATCAAGAGTCAGAAGACAACTTTAAAAAATAGGATCTCTAATGAAACTTGATGAAACGATATCTCAAGTATTCAGAAAACGCTTCGTATGAACGCAAAGCTGTGAACAGCGTCTTGGTGATTAATTAACAGTACCAATTTAACATATCAAATCCAGCTGTCAAACTGACCCGGCTAGTGAACAAACGCTTTTCAATACGTAACAACGTGACAATTTTACAGTGTGTTTGAGAGATGTAAACCACACAAAGCGTCCAAACTGGACAGACCACCTAGGGCCCGACAGCTAGGTGAGATGTACATTTTTAAACAGGGTTTGAGGTGTCAAGGTAGCTGACTGTACTAACTTAGACTTAGCTAGCTAACGCTAGCTCTGCCAGAGAAAGTGCAGAATATTATCGCTATAAGAGTAACGTTAAGTTAGAACTTACCATTTTGACGGCTTATTGAGAGCAGTCAGGTGTTTTCAGTGAACAGCAAACCGCTTTGTGGTAAATACCGCAAGATATTATCATTACATGTCTATCTGACTGCTCGTTGTTTCAGAGCCCCATTGAAGCAGCCTAGAGTAGCTTTGTGAACGAATTGTTCTTTCGAGTCGGATCTTTTCAGTGCAACGGTTAATCTAATTCATTCCCGATTGATTAGAACACTTACAGTAAACATCCGTATTAATGAAATGTACTCGAAAACTCGTAATAGACAGCAATATTTATTATACTAATCCGACCTACCCCCTAAACCCAATCCTAATCCTAAACCTACCCTCACAATAGCGCCTACTAGGGTCACAGAATTCGGTGTTACAACGGCATGGTGTATAAGAACGGCTGAGTCGGCTCATTTGAACGAACTGTTTGAAGGAACCGATTCGCAGAATTGAGCTGGACTTCCCGTCACTAGAGAGGAGTCAGGTAGCGTCATCACCGCCAGCGCGCATGCGCTCTGCGCATTCCTGTCTCCACAAGATCTCCTGCAGAAAGTCCGCTTGCTGCCTTCACAAGAAACGACTTCCCGCTACTAACAAAAAACAGCGAATGATTTATGTGTTTACGTTTTCGAAAGTAATAAAGTGGGGTTTCTTGTCTATTTGTAAAAACTTAACAGCGTTGCCTCTGCCATCAGGGCAAGATGTTCAGATGCTGTTGCAATGACAAAAAGGGGTCTGATTCAGGTTGCCATGGTAACAGAGATAGGAGGGTGAGGGTAAAGAACTTTAATCTGTTCATGATATAGGAAAATACAGATTCATGCTGCTCAGTTTTGGTCATTCATTGCGACAATCATCATGGCAGCTCATATCACAATGCCATTTGTACTGCCAGCTCGTGTTAAGCATACATTTATCTGTAACTTGATTATTACAATATATAGCGTGTCTCTAGACATCCCAAGCCATTTATCTGAAAAATGCTGTAATCTATTTGACTTTTTGTTGTTGCCACACTTTGAACACAAGATGTCGCCAGCACCTAAGTAATTTAATAAACAACGCAAAACTAATTCATGTTCACATATAGTCGCTTTTATTATAAAAGGAAACTATTTCAATAAACAGTCTTCAAGAAAATATAACCTTCGACAATAAATTAATATAAATACTGTAAAATCCAACTTGTAAAAAATATATAAGCACATTAAACAGATTAAAGCATACAAATTAATTCACTCTTCAAATTAGTGCATGTAGAAACTCCGTCTGCTGAGGCTGTAAATTTGTTCATTAAATGTCCCTGATGTTTCAGACATATGTTTTAAACAGTAATCCTTTCTTTTATATTATAGATCTTTCCTCTCCCATAGCTAAGGACACATACTGAATAAACATCTATTCTATACATTGCTTTTTAAAGTTTGGCACTTCAAGCTATGCTCACATGACAGATATAGAAGGTTTTGCATCTTTTCCTCCCAATTTCATTCTAAAACTGAACTCTAAGCATCTCCTGTCTTCAGTAGTATGTTGTGTGCAGACTTGTTGGCAGTTTCCTTGGTCCTTCTGTTTGTATGGGCACTTCAGACACAACCTTGGTCTGTTAGTATTCCTGAGGCTGGTTCACTTGACCGCTGAACAACAACGCACCTGTGAAGTTAACCAGGGGATTTTAATATTGAGGGAGACAACCAAAAAAAAAAAAGAAAAAAACTACACCGACACATATCCAGATAAAAAGTAAGCAAAATTAAATGTAATAAGGTAAAAGCATGTGAAAAGTTCAACTGACCAGTGGGTTTGTGTTGAATGAGGAAATAGAAGGGTCTATCGAGTTTGATCTCCTCTACAGCCATGCGAGAGTAGATGACAGCCACTGGGGAAAATCACAGAAAAATAAATAAGTAAAATATGCATTTTGGTTTCACTATAATGACTATTGCTATTGAATACTTTTGTACTGTATTGTATGTAATTCAGTGTCTGTACCTGTGGCAGATGAGCCTTTGGTTCCTTCTTCATTCACCTCAAGTTTTACCCTCTGAAGGACCTTGGATACACATAAAGGTTCCTCAGCTAATTGGAAAAAAAGAGAGAGACACAACACTATTAGTTTCATCAAAAAGAGCATCCATTAACACGCATTTATTTATCCTTTAACAAAACAGCCACATCATTGCTAAAAGTGAAATCTGATCATTTCCAACACTCACTGGTAATGTGAGAGAAATCAGCTTTGCTCTGGCTGAAAATGTCTCCAAGACCCATCTTGCTCAGTGTGGACTTCAGATCAGTTTCTGTATCCATGGAGAACCTGAGATATCATTACATAACACACACATTAGGCCTCCTGTTTTAAAATGTCCATCACAATATAAAAATCCCACGCAAGTTCACAGAAATAGATGTGTTACCTTGGAATAGCAAGTTGTTTGTTAATCTTTCTCATCTGTTTTCTCCATTGGTGAATCCTGCTGCTTCTCAGCTCTTTGTTCAGGGCCAACAGAGGCACATCCCTCTCAAATGGTATCACCAGAAGCATACTTAGCGACTCCCCCTCATAAGGCACCTCAATGACATCATAGTCCACACCGTCTTCAGTCACAAACTCACCTAGATGGAGAAAAATGTTGTAAATAAACTTTACAACATTCTTTATTTTCTTATCAGTTCATTTAAACCAAATCATCGACACTCACCACAGTTGAATTTTGAAGTCATAGTCATCATAGGAACAGACACAGCACTGCCGTTGACTCTGTGAAATAGTTGTTCCCTAGTAAGTTTAGGGTCAAAGGGCGTCTTCCAGACCCCATGGAAATGAAGAGCATTCAGCAGGACCAAGCGTGTCAGTTCACTCAACACCCCAGATGGGAGGAAGTCAGAAATCATTCCTAAGAAATGAAGCCAATAAATCGTTTAAGCGTCTTGAAAAGAGTGTATGGTGAGCGAGCTTACATTTAATAATTTAGCAGACATTTTTATCCAAATTGATGTGGAACATCACAGGCAATGTATTCAAAATAGCAGTAACTTACCACCAGTGTGGTCAGATGTCCAGGAGTTGATCACCTGCCGGGCCATCTCTGGTTGGCTGAAGTCTATTTGGTGTGGGACGCTCCGGAAGGCTTTGGACAGACTGCGCCTAAATACCTTTTCCAGGATTATCTTCCGGTCAACCATGACACCGCTGGCCACTTCTACCCCGTCTTCACTGGCCAGATCTCTCTGAAGAAGCCTCTGTAGCTTTGGCATTCCTCGTGCTATCAGAAGGAAAGAGAGAGTTAGAAAAACAACAATCTTTACACATTAAATTAGGAATGTAAAATATTATGATTTAAATATAAGAATACAAGATATAAGTGATACATATAGGCCTATTCTCTACAAATATTTGCTTTATTAAAATGATACATTCTGAATGATAGTTTTTCTAAGCTGTTCCAGAACATAATAGAATTACATCTACTGCTCTCATTCATCTACCTTGTAGTGAGTAGCCCATCTTGGAGGTAAGCATTTGAAGAGTGCTGCCATAGGCACCCAGTTGAGCCATGCCCAGCACTGAAGAGATGCCATAGGGAGAAAGAACCAGATTTCTGTCCGGAGCAGATTGGACTACTTCAGAGAACACCTGCAGTCCAAAATCTGTCTGTTTCTCCTGCATAATGTTGCACAAGCTTGACCCGCAAAGGGTAAAGATCAGCAGCACATTCAGGCTCTGCATTCTGAATAACCGAGGAAGATAAGAGAGAGGTCAGCTGTGCTAATTCAAAACTGTAAATGGTAAGTACAGATTTTATGAAAAAGATCATTTCAAAAGCTCGATTGTTTTTTGAATTTCTGCTGAAGTATGATTCTGGTCACAATATGGGTGTGTTCACTTGGCAAAACCATGGAGACAAATAAATGTTTCAACCTCCTCCAAAAAGAGAACAAGCTGCTTCTTTACTTTCCCTTGTGAAAATTCTCCCTAATGTGCAAGACACAACACCCACCATTCAAACGCTAAGATGCCATCTCTGTTTGTCTATCTTGACTCATGCCTCACATGTTTACCTTCAGAATACTATGGCACATAAGAAGCTTTGTCTATAAACACTTATTCCAAGTTTATAACTTTATTATATGTATACTGATTTCTGGGTAAACAACTAGTAATTTATATCAACAATTACATTTTCAAATTTCACACCTAATTCAGTTCTGCCCATGCTGGTTAGTCCAAAACATACGGGCAAAATCTATTAGATCAAGCAATCAACTACTTGAGCTAAATGCTACCAAAACTTTACAACTTCTAAAAGTTTTAATCATTAAGTTGGAGTCTATTTTCGGTATGAAGCAAAACAAGAACATAAAATTACCTGAAAGATGCTTTGATTTTGAAGAGTTTCTTTGTAGATTTAGTTTGTTACTGTGATCTTCGATGCAGTGCAAGCCTAGAGCTGCTCTTAATGTGTCTGTGAGTAGCTCTGTCGCTATTTAAAGGACTTGAGACCTCCCCTTCAGACACGCACACACTAGCGGAAGTTATGAAGTCATCCTTGTCTGCCTTTCCAGTCCCCCTCTCCCCTTTTTCACACAGACAAACATAAACACTTTTTTTTCACCCAGTCTCTTTCCTTGTCTCTCTCTCCTTTTTTACAGGACCGTTAAACAGCCAAGCCATGGCTACGTTTAGTCTAAGGCAGAAGTCATTGCCAATTTTGGCGGCATATCAGTCTTTAAAGCTTTGAATGTGTTTCTTTGTTTCAGTGAACTCTCACATCTTTTATATCAGTATATTAATACATATCTGTATTTAATTATCAGTTGTTGACTTCAACATCAGTATACTATATATATATATATATATATATATATATACACACACACACACATACACACACCAAGTAATTCACGTTGTAATATTGAAACAGCAATTAATTACAAACAATTACTCAAGAACAAAAACGTGTTTGAGCAAGCACGTACTTAATTAATTTCAATAAGGCCACTGACAGGACTGGATATTTTAACATCTATGTATGTGCCAAAAATAAAAGTTGACATAATCCATCCCCTTATCATTCTGTTCAGCAACCACAATGACAGTAAAAATAGCTTCATCATCTGGAGTAATTAAGAACATTAGGCTGAAGCATTGACTCACGTTTGGGAAAAATGACACATCACATGCCCATATTTGGTTCTACCAAAAACGCATTCCTTCACACATGCTCATGAGGAAGGCCACATTTTCTGAGTATAAGGAATAGTTAGGTGTCTAGGGACAAAAGGACAGGAAAATGGAAAAACTACTGATGAAATAACTTTAAACTCTTTCAAGTCATGTCTAATGATCCCTGGTATGAGCTTTATCATCAAGGCCAACGTCTTCGGGGAATATGACACAGACTGAATGTGTAAAGAAAGTCTGCAGAGGAGCATGTCTATAAAACATGGAAAACACACACAAGCCAGGTACCTATTGTGAGGAATGTTAAAGTACTTAACAACTGTTTTACTGAAATACAACATCTGTCTTCTTAGCAACTAACTGTAGGGGCTTTAACTGCGAGAGCTTTAAAAGACCAGACAATGAAGTGTCAAAATGAAAATTCGCAAGTCATAAAGTTTGTATACTCTGAACACAAACATCATGTCATGCTTTAATTAAGTTCACAGATGTGTTTACGTCATTGATTTCAAGTCTCGCGTGCAAGTTCTAAACCGTTAAATGCATTGTTAAATGTACTGTAATATCTCCTCTCTCTGGATTTCTGTCATTTACACACTTACACGTAGGTGTCTTATGAATTTACGCTTCATTCCCACTGATATAATGGCCTATATAAAAATTCTGCGATATCATGGATTATTTTATTAGTAGCCTACCCTAACAGTGGCAGAATACTGATGTGGTACAGTAACATTTTGCTTTTAACTCCCTCGAATTAATTATGTCATGTTGTCATGAGCCTCTCCTCCAGTAAACTTGTGAATGGAAAATTGGACTCACAGCACTCAAAAGGAACGCCAACTTCATTTCCCACTGGAATGAGCATGAGAATCCAGTTAGCTAAGTTTCACTGTAACCACAGGCAACCAACCAAGAAAAGTTTGGGAAAGGAACAAAGCAAAACCACATTTTGGAAGATTAAGTGCTTTTATGCAATATTCAAAAACTCCAGCTTCCCGCTCAAGAAGAAAAAACTGAAAGTAAAACTGATTGTCAATTAAACATATTAAAATTAAACACAACAGCATTCACCTACAGAATTTTTAATATACAAAACATAATTTTATTAATTATATGTTGTTGTTTTTGGGGTAACTTTGTTAGCACATATACGTTTGTGTGAAATATAAACATGGGTTTCACTATATGGTGGTCCTCATTGTCCTGATGTTTCTCAATCAAGCAAATGATATTTCCAGCATTTGGTTGCAACATTCACTATGACAATCCACCACTAACATGTCTAAATTCCATGAATGTTTTCTCTCTTTTCCAGAAAGTACAATTCAACTGACTTGATGTGGATGTTTTTTTTTTTTATTGTAAATTTTGCAATGTTTAAAAATATCATTAAAATAAGTTTTATAGAATTAAATGAGTATTTCAACGCTATATGTAGAAATTTGACATTTTAATAAATATATACTTTTTCCATCAACATCTAAGTCTAATTGGAGTAACAGTCTTAATGTGCTGTTTTAAAACGACTCATTAATCATAATCCAGCAGTTTACAGTATCATGTTAGGTGGGTTGGGCTGTTCTCACTTGACCTTTTCATTTGACCCTATGTTAAATTGCAGCACTGTTTTATTCTGTTGTCAGGGAGTTCAAACAAACAGTCAGAAAATATTGAAATATTTTGTTTGTGGTCATTATGACTAATAACAACTGATTAAATACAGCTGAAGGGTGGGCGAAAGACACCAGATGTAGCTGAGGAGAACCTAGTGGAACACAATCGTGGGAGCATCTTGCCGTTGAGAAAGGGAGAGAGATCCTAAAAGTAAAACTGATGCATCTTTTCTCAGAAACATGAAATCAGTATATCAGAGCCATTGAAGAGTATAATTCATTTATACATTTACAGAACCAAATATGAACTTAATGAATAAACTGAAAATGCAAAATATGAACCTACACCTACTCTCTATGTCTATAAGCAAGATTCTGCTGATGTATTTCTATCTGTACTACATTCTGATTGATCAGAAACTTGCTTAACTTTTGTGCAGTGTCCATGGAAAATGCCAGCCATGCTGATTAAGGCTCTTCAAAGTGAAATATCTTGATTTATGTGGATTTAAGGAATCTATTCTAGACTAAAAAGTGCTGATGAGTGATAAAGTGATAAGGAACAGGAAATTATAGCCTTTATTTAACTTCAAAGCCTAGAAAGCTTGGACGTCATCTCTTGCCTCTTTTACTTGCACATATCTTGTTTTTCTCATTTCAAATTGCACAAATAAGCATCTGGCAGATCATCCCATTTAATAAACCCAAGTTTTCAAGAAGCTTATTTATTATATAACCAAGTCAAGTTTCAAGAGAATGAAGGAGATACCAGGTGATGGGCCGTTACACAAGGAGAGCTGGACAGGACCGTATAAATGCAACAATTCAGCAGCAGGACCAGTATCTGCTCCTTTGTGCAAGGAGGAACAGGAGGAGCACTGCCAGAGCCTTACAAAATGACCTCCAGTAGGCTACTGGTGTGCATGTTTCTGATTAAACTGTCAGAATCATGTCAGATTTCATACGGGTGGCATGGGAGCCTGACATCCTCTAGTAGGACCTGTGCTTAGAGCCCAGCAGCATGCAGCTCGATTGGCATTTGCCAGAGAACACCAGAATTGGCAGCCCCACCGCTGGCGCCCCATTCTCTTGAGAGCAGGTTCACACTGAGCACATGTGACAGAAGTGAAAGAGTCTGTAGATGCCATGGGGAATGTTATGCTGCCTGCAACATCATCCAGCATGATCAGTTTGGCGGTGGGTGGTCTGGGGAGGAATATACTTGGAGGGCCACAAAGACATGTTAGCCAACGGTACCCTTACTGCTGTCAGGTACCGGAATGAATTCCTCAGGGCCACTGTCAGACCTGACACTGGTGCAGTGGGCCCTGGGTTCCTCCTAGTGCATGACAATGAGTATGTAGGCAGTTTCTGGATGATAAAGGCATTGATGCTATTGACTGGCCTTCATAATCCTCAGACCTGAATCCAACTGAGAACCTCTGGGATGTTATGTATCGGAGCATCCACAGCCACCACGTAACACCACAGATTGTAGGAGCTCTAGATGCTGTTGGAAGTGCATACAGGCATGTGGGGGCCATAAACACTATTGACTTAATGAGTTGATGAAATTCATTCAAGTTGGATCAGCCTGTAATTTCCCTGTTTTACTTTGATTTTTGGTGTGATTTTGAATTTAGCACTCATTGGGTTAATGATGTTGGCTTTTCATTGACCATTATCACGTCATTTTATTCTCAACGAATTACACAATGTATATAAGTTACTGTAAACTGAGGTCGTTTTTTTAATTTATTCAAATCTTAAAGATTAATTTGTTTTACCAATGTATTCGCAAATGTTAATGCAATATACTGATATGGAGAATAACAATGACATTTGAAGCACAAAGCTCTTGCCAAATAGATAAGGCACAGGATATGACCAATGAGGAGAGAGCGTTGAATTAGGCAAAACATGTCCTGTGTCACACCCTTGAGCTCCAAGAGTCACAACAAATTTATATATCCAGGGCTACCAAACAGCTTGTACTTAAAGAGTGAGCAAAGCGCTTCAGGGGGTAAACAGGAAAGTTGAACCATCCAATAGGACATGCCATGAACTCTTTAACGTTTCCACGAAATTGCATGTTTTTCTAAAGGGGTGATGGGTGTTGCTGATGGGAATTGTGGAATTTTTTTTGAAGGCCAAACAATGGCTGAGTATTTTGAAATAGATACTGTATGCTTAGATATAAACAGATGTGTTTTTCAGTTGAGAAATGCTGAGCAGGCATCTTTTATTTAATGGCCCCCAAAATTTAGACTTATATTTTTTTAAACCAATAGTTAGTTTTGAGTCTAATTTATTTAATTTGAAAATATTATTACATCTTTTATCTGTTTAAGACATCACTGTACCATTAAATATCAGGGCTTTCCTTTACTGGCCAATTAAAACTAGGTTGCTAACAAGAGGCATTTTGTTCAACAAGGTTACATAACTGAAGACATAAAATGGCAAAACAATTATATCTGGCAAACCCAAAGACACCAAAACACAGCCTTAAAGGGTGTATACAAAAGAAAATAATTAGTCTTCAGATTTATGAAATGATTCAGAGGCTGAGAGTTGAAAGCCTTGAGAGTCAAAACTTGTGTTAACCTGTTTTGTGGCTGCGGTGCCTAGGAATGGAAGCTGTGGTT